ATTCTTTAAGATTGCACTCTCTGCCTTTTTTTATAGCCCTTAGTACAACTTGTGTTGTTATTTTTATTTTCTTATTATCTGTCTTCTCATATATGTATCAAATACAATATAGTAGAGAACATAAGAATTTTATTTGCTATCTTATCGCTGCTCTTAATATGAAATCTGGTACCTAATTTGGTTCTTCCAAAATCATTCTTGAGGGAAGAACTGACCCAAATTGTCCTGATGTTCTGGTCATTAACGCCACATCATTCTTTGCGTTACCCATAAGGAAAACCACAAACAGCAGTTAGATCAAATGGAACAACTTATACAGATAATTTTTTTCATAATTATCCTCACAAACTTCTATGCATACTTATTTGTAATGTAGCTCTCTGAAAAATGCAGATATCCTTTATGTTCCCAACCTAATATTTTCATTTCAATTTCCAAAGTAAATAAAGGTTAAAAAAATTCTTGAAAATCCTAGGGTAAGGCAAAAAGAGACTATAAATAATAAAAATGATGGACAATTGAATTGCACCTTTTCAGAGAGCAGTTTATTTTTTTATTCCGAGCAGTCTGAACTGCACTCAGAAGCCCATGCACAGTAACATTTTAATATAAGGCCACAGGGATGTGTTCTCTTATTTGTAACGTCTCGCTTATGGTGTGTTAATGCTGCTCTCAGTGCAAATAATGGTACCTTTGGTAGCAAAGGCTCTGTCAACTATGAAAGAATAAATTCTGTTTTTCTGTTAAATATTTCTCTGTAATATCCGAATTCCCTCAGGGGCTGATTAAATTCATTAAGTGCTAACAGATATTCTAGCCATTCTTTTCTTTCTGACCCTGATGCCAATAAGAGGAAAGCCAACCCTGGAATAGTTGAGCTGCCAAAAATCTAATGTTATAGCCCAATATTTACAACTAAATAACACAAATTATAATAAAGTAGCATTTATAGAAGGCCTGTTTCCTAGCTGACACCACAGTAATTTGGTTTTTATTTTTCCTAAACCCTAAAACGGCTATTACTATCTTTAGTTTACAGTTTAAGGAAGCTATGATTTAAACAGGTAATCAAGAGAAAATTTACCGTAGAAAAACAGTTTTGTCTGTCCTTACCACTCAAAATCTTTGTATGAAATCATTAATGCTGTCAATTAAAAGTCGAACTTGTTCTTTGGTCTCGGAGGACAGGTAAATTAGAACAGTGAGGAAGGCGGTCTGCAGTGATTTGAATGAGAGTCTGAATATTTTGTTTACATTATTTAGTAACCAGTTGAGGAAAACATATATTTCTTTATTTATCTTGCTGAAATAATTCAGTCCATGAAGTCTAATATTCATGAACAATCTAATAGTTCTTAGTATGTATTTATGAGTTTCTGCCAATCTTTACCACCATCAAATTTCAGAACATTTTCATCTCCCCAGAAAGAGGAATCTTGTGATGAGTATCAATCACTCTCCCTCTCTCTCTCTGATTTCTTAGTAACCATGAATGTACCTAGTCCAATTTTACCTATTTTGGACACTTTATACACATGGAATTCAAACTATAAATCACCTTCTGTGTAAGGGCTCCTGTCATTTGCAATATTTTCAAGATTTATCTATCTTTCAGCTTGCATAAGTACCTTATTTCCTGAAGTATTATAATTGAGATATAGTCTAATAATGGATAAAAATTATTTGCTCCAATACAGAGAAAATTGTGTACTTCGTTTCTTTAGCATGAATTTTATGGTGTTAACAAAGCAAACTAATATGATACAAGTTCATGAAGAATATTTTTGTAACCAATGATCTCTCAGAAGGTTAGGTTACCTACTCAAATATTAAAAAAGTAAAGTAAATTCAACTTTGAACATGAAGCCACAAATTTTATCCATTCAGATGACAGATAAATAACAGGAACAACTACATTCAACCTCTGAAACTATGATCCTCGTTTCACATTTAGAATCTAGCTAAGAATTCACATTCCATCAATCCATGTAAGTTGCAGTGGCTAAGGATACATGAATGAAATGCTCTTTGGGACAGAAATGATAGTAAATGATCTGATATAATACTTCCAGGAGTCATGGAAGGGAAAGGTTCACAAGTTAGCTCCTCTTGCCATTGGGAATACAGGCCAAGGGTAGAAAGGTACTCTGATTTTTTTTTTTAATTTAATTTCTGCAGTAGTGGGACCTGAATCCAGGAAGCTATGACCTATATCCTTAGTTGTCATCTTCCTTGTCCTGTGCTTCCTCCTCCTCCTCCTTTTTCCCCTAGTTCATTTTTAAAGACAGAGTCTCACTAAACATCCCAAGGGGCCCTTAACTTGAGATTCTCTTTCCCCAGCCTCCTAAGAAGCTGCAAATAATTCTTCTAAATGAAGTACCTTTATTTCTAAATATTGACAAATTCAACTTTTTCTTTCTGAAATTAAACATTTGAAAAGTACAACTATGTACACCAAGTAACTTTTTGTTGTGGACTGACTCATAGGGAGTTTTACAAGGAGGTGCCCAAATCTCTTTGTTTCAAAGGAGCAGGAAAATTTGAGAGAACATGGCTTGCTCCTTTTTAACCTTAATTCTGAAAATGTTCACTAGCTTAAACTTTAGGACAAAAAAATTAGAAAAGGGAAGATGACACTAAGTCCTGCATTCTTACCATGGCTAATTACCAAAGACATCCTTTGTGCATTACTGCTATGTTCTTGGAATATCATGATGAGCTAGATGGTTGGATCTGTGACTTCAGAAATCTACAGTGGGAGAAAAGATAATCATTCAACCATGTATAATACACTGAGATCATTATTTTTTTATGTTGTGTTAGAACTGAAGAGAAGAAGAGAAGCTTGTGCCAGAGAAGGCAGCCAGAGAAGTCTTGCTGGGAGGATTTTTCTACTGGCAATAAAAATTGTTGATCAAAGATGGGGGACATAGCAGGGAGAGGAGGAAAGATTATCCCAAGAAGAAAAGATAGCACTGGTAAATTGTATCATATTTAACTAATTTAAATAATTTCAGATAGACAAGAACCTATTTTGGAAGGTGGGAAGGTGTAGGGAAGAGAAGTCAAAAAGTAGACAGGTAAGCAAGTTTGAATAATGCGCAACTGTTTGAAGTTGTTAAAAATGCTCACAATCGATCTGAAGAAAGAAAATAATTAAAGATATATTGATGGTTGTAGTGATTTGATCAAATTTAAGAAGTGACTGAGGAAGATCACACCTACTTCTCTGTGTGGGATGGACTGTCAATAGGCAAGCCTAAGAGAGCAGAAACAGAAAAGTTAATGATTTTGCATCTATCGGTATGTATAATGGTACATCATGTGAAGAAGTTTGGACAATTGAAAAGGGACAAAACGCACTGACCGACAAGTTGACCCCAGATCCATCAACGTTCCCAGCAAAAATTGAGAGAGTTCCAAATTAGAAGAACTGAAAGGCTGCCCTTGTGAACCAAGGAGAAATAATAAATGTTTATTGTTTTTTATCCAATGAATCTTAGGGAGATTTGTTACAGAGAAAGAAGTAATCTGTTTAAAATTTTACTCAATCTTGGTTTATGAAAAATATCTCAGGAATCAAGTGAAACAAAGTGTTTTTCTACTTTCCTTGAGAGTTTAAAAATCTGAGAATCAGTTATGCACTTATATTTGGCCAAGTCATCAGGTCTTGTACTGAGTAACTATTTAATTTGTATCTTGCATGAGAGAAAATGTTGAGCTTTAATTATTGCATCTTAAAAAATAAGGCAAAGTTTTATTTTGTGAATGCCAATGAAATTACAGCTTCTTCTGTTCTACCTAATGTTAGTATTTTTCCCATAAATACCTCGTAAACCATAATTAATAGAAAATTCTCTGAACTTACATAAAGGACAGACAATGCTGTGGGTCAATTACATCCCTCCAAGAAATACACTGAGACTCTAACTTCTAGAAGCTATGAATGTCATCTTATTTTGCAAAAGGTTCTTTGTAGATATAATTACTTTAAGATACAGCCATCTTGGATTACTATGGGCCCTAATCCAGTGACTAGACACTTACAGAGGAAGACATTTGTACACACACACACACACACACACACACACACACACGAAGGCCACATAAAGACAGAAGCAGAGATTTGAGTGATGTATTTATAAGCCGTGGAACAAAAAATTCAAATCACCAGAAGCTAGAAAAGTCAAGCAAAGAAATCTTCTCAGACAGCCAACTTGACACCTGCATGTGATCTCAGATTTGGTACTGTTAGTTAGCCTTCAGAAGTGTGACAGAATACACTTTTTGATTTAAAATCCCTAGTTTTAGGTATCTTATCAGGTTAGTGGGAGAAAACTAACCCAAATACCAACTTTATTTTGCTAGAAATGTCTTTTATTAACTAACAAATTTAATACCTTATACATGGTGAGTTATATTTGTCACATTTTTATTCCTGTAAGATCTTAATATTTATAGAATTTAGTTAATTCAATATTTGTGTTGATTTCACTGTTAAAACATCTTCTTTAAAAGCATTTGGCAAAATTTCAGTGAACTTTACTTTATTCCCAGCACCCTTTATTTTCTTTCATGGTTTTGTTTTCCTCTTTTGTTTTGTGATGTGCTGTTGTTGTTGTTGAGACAGGGTTTTGCTAAGTTCACGCTGGCCTTGAATTCACAGTGACCCTCTTGCCTCGGCTTCCAGAGTGTTGGAATTACAAGCATGTACCATGGCACCAGCTCCAATATTCTTTTTATCATGGCAGATTCTAAAGTTTTAAATTACCAAATTAACCTATGCCCCAGAAAACATACTTTGAGTATCTTTCCCAGAGAAGTTGGAACGCTTTTTATTTCCCAAAGTCGGGCATTACATTATATACCTTCACTATGATCATTAACTTGGATCTCGTGGTGCCACTGAACAGAAAGGGTCTCTGTGTTTCCACAGCAACTAAGGATGCTAATCAAAGGTGAAGTGCATGTAAGAAAATGTTCCCTTCTGGGAAGCTTACCTTTAGGGCAGCCTGAGAAACCACATGCTGTAGAGTTTCTATATGCCCGTGATTCCTAAAACAAAAACAGGAATGCATGTGAATTGATTTTTCAAGACACAAGTAGCTTGTGTTTAACTATAAATTTCCATTCAAAAACTAGATTATGAAGAAATGAAAATTAGGCACAGTTGGTATGAACTTCTGTCTAGATTAAGGGACAGGATGCCAGTTCTATTCTGTACTTTGTCTCACACCAGCTGTTGGTGAGTTCATTTCCATGCTTCCTTCTTTGTTAGTGCAATAATTCTAGGAGTCTTGGATATTGTACAGTACTGAGATTCTATTGAATAGACAATTTCTTATGATTGTGTACTATATAGGCTTTAAAAGATAAAAAACTAGGGTTGGGGATAGAAAGAATTTTGATCCTGATAGGACACTGTAGACGGTGTGAGGCTGGGGGGCAGAACCAGGGGGCTCTATCTTGAGATCACCTTTTGCGGTCCTAGGCAATTTACCTGTGGCGTGAAATGAATACCAATGGGCTACCTGGGCATCACTAATGCCCCTTAGGCACCACCCCAAACTTTAGCTACATGTATGCCCCCACACCACGTGTCTGGTGGAGAGAATGCCAGACCCCGGAGGTCATGGAGTCTCTCCCCACATTCTTAAAATAAAGACCACTTTTATTTCAAACTTATCTTTTTAGCCACGCCAAAAATTCTATCAGATGGTTCCTTCTGCACCGAAAATTCTATCACGGATATAGTTCAGTACTGTATGTGTTTGTCTGACAAGTACAAGGTCCTGAGTTTGATTCCTGGTATTTCCCTTTGTCATGGTTTGTGTTTGTGTCCCCCAGGACTCATGAGTTTGCACTGTTCATTTGTGATGGTTCACTGTCTAGTGCTTGGATTGATGTTGTCAGTGCTCCACCCACATAGGGGTGGAGCCAGGATGTGATGTAATGGCAGGAAGAACGTGTGTCTTGCTCTTTGCTGGTTGGAGTTTGCTGTTGGCGGCCGCCATGAACTGCAGCCCAGCCATGCCTGCCTGTCTTGGAGCCAACTGAGTGTGGACTGAAACCTCCAAAAACTGTAAGAAATAAACCTTTCCTTTCCCAACTTTGGGCTTCAGGTATTTTGTCTCAGTGACGAGCATAAAGTAACTAAGACACCTTCCCAAATCAGTATCGAAAAGATAAATACTCAGCAATGAACTCGGTTCAAGATGTAAATTATATATTGTAAATCTTTATACTAAAGGTAGCAACAAAACTAAAAAAGCACTCTTCATATAAAAATGACAGAAATTTTCTGAAAGCTAATGAATTGAACCTTGTGAAATGATTTTTAAAGCTACAATGATAAATACTAAACAAGAAATAACTTTTATCTTGGACAGTGTTTTCCTTGAATAGTTGTTTTATCTTCTAAGGAAAATATATACTTGATTTTGTAGGAATAAGTGTGTATTTATAGATTCACTTTTTTATATATTCAGTTTTTTTGTAGGTTTGTGTCCTCTAACCGAATTTTAACCACAGATAACTTTACTAAGCTTTTTTACAAAATGAAAAGAATATACATTATAATATGTATATATTGCATTACCATAAAAATATTGTAATCACACAAGTGCTCACAAGTAATCACACAAGAAAAATTGTTTATACTAAATAATCACAGTTTAGATGTTAAAGGATTAATAAAACCTATTCACACAAATCAAGAAGGTCCTAGAATCAAAGAAGTTGTGAGAATTTCAGCCAACAATGTGATCAGGCAACATTTACAGGGAAATGGAAGGCAGACACATAAAACAATTACAACCATGTTAACCAAGCAAACTAGTCAAGTGGTTACAGTGCAACTAATTAGTTAACAGTTTAACTAGTTTATTGTTTGTGAAGCTTCAGGCACCCCACTGAGCTTTGATTAAATTCTACAATGGTAGATCTTTGGGGGCCTCAATCAGGTTCTGGGCTCTAGTTCACATCCGCCTACAACATTTTATGTTTAACATGAGTATATTCTGATTTATATTTAAATGTGGCATAATTAATTTGGATAGAAATTACACATTTTCTTGACTAGCCATAAAGACATTGTCACTTCTCATGTATGTTTTCAACTGGTTAGCATAATAACTCATCTCTATGGTAAACATCTCACTACCACTACTTTTTTTTTTTAATTTTATTTAAAAGGAAAAAGAGAAACAAAACAAAACAAAACAAAGCAGTGCAAGGGTACAATACAGAACTACAAAAAAAAAAAAAAAAGTAAGAAATCACCAGTTAATAGATTATACATTATCGTCTTAGAGATAGTTGCTCAAGTCACAGTATCAAAGCATACAAAGTGGACATTCAAACAGTGAGACTGCAAACAGTTGTGTTAAATGATCCAACCAAAAACATTAATATTGTCAGCTATGTAACACCCCTAAACATATTTGCAGTTTTGTCCTTTAGAGCACTTTTTTTCCCTCTCTTTTTTTACAACAAAATTTACACATTTTGGGTTTTATTACTCCTTAGTTCTTATTACTTATTTTTTTTTTGGAAGAGAATAAAGTCAAATATGGCAAAACAAAGCTGTCAGTCAAAACCAAGGATAGACATAGTACATGATGTAAGAACAGAGCACAAGATTATCAACAATGGTTACCATAATGCCTCTTGTTTCCTAAAAAGAATTGTCTATCTCATTAGGTATTATAAAGTTGAACAAAGAGAACAAGACCAATAAAACTTAAACATTGTAAACATTACAGGACTTCCAAAGGAGATAATAGTCAAACCAGAATGGGCATCTTAGTGAATCTTATTGCCTTCAAAGTAGTTGCCTGTACCCCCAAACTTGATACTATCATACAGAATGGAGCAGAGTATAATCAGTCAAAACAAGATAGTGGAAGTATTACAGGACTTCAAAACAAATTAATAAGAAATCAAAAAAAGTTACTTTAATATCTCCTGTTAATATTTTTAATTTTTCCCCTTAATTAAAAAAACATAAAAAATAACTAAATAATTTTTTGTAGTGAATAAGGGAGAGATTGAGATAAAAGAGGACATTACAACATAACAATACAGGTCAAAGTATGACAGTTTTAGCAACCTAGTGCTTCACCACCAAATAACCCAATTTAGTAGTAGTTACCATAGTGTCTATTTTTTTCCTTGAAATATTTGAATATAACTTCTTATACTATAGCTTCAAATATTTCCATATCAAGAAGCCCAGAATAAAGCCTTTCCAATTAATAAGTCCACATAATGGGGAATCAAGGCCACAAGGCCACATAATGGGGAATCATGATTACCACATACTTTTATATATTTGAATCATTACTTACATTAGGGAAACTATTTGGTATTCACACATGCGAGATTGATTTATGTCACTTATGAGGTCTCAAGTTGCGCCCATTTATTGATAAATATCTCAATGCGATCCTTCTTTATAGCTGAGTAGTACTCCATTGTATAGAAATACCACAAATTTTTTATCCATTCCTCAGTTGATGGACACTTGGGTTGTTTCCAAGATCTGGCGATTACAAATTGTGCTGCTACAAACATAGGTGCACATATATCACTGTGGTATGATGCTTTCAGTTCTTCTGGGAATATGCCTAGAAGTGGAATAGCTGGAATAAATGGGACTTCCAATCCCAGCTTTTTGAGAAATCTCCAGACTGACCTCCACAAAGGCTGCACCAATCCACACTCCCACCAACAGTGTAGGAGAGTTCCTTTTTCCCCACAGCCTCTCCAGCATTTGTTGTTGTTGGTTTTCTTGATCCTCACTCTTTCAGGAGTGAGATGGTGTCTGAGTGTGCTTTTAATTTGCATTTCTCTAATGACCAATGATGATGAACATTTTTTCATGTATTTATTTGCCATTTGTATTTCTTTATCTGAGAAGTGCGTATTCATCTCAGATGCCCATTTTTGGATTGGATCTTTGAATTTTGGGGGTCTGAGTTTTTTTTAAATCTTTATATGTTTTAGACAACAGTCCCTTATCTGAGAGGGAGTTCACTAAAATCTTTTCCCAGTTTGTGGGTTTTCTTTTCACTATGCTGGAGATTTCTTTTGACATGCAGAAACTTTTTAATAAGAAGTGGTCCCAGTTATTGATTCTGGGAAGTATTTCCCGTGCGGTTTGAGTCCTGTTCATGAATTCCCTATCTACTTCCTATGTCTTCAAGATTTCTACCCAACTTGTCTTCCAATAGATTTAGTGTTTCTGTTTTAATATTCAGATCTTTGACCCATTTAGATTTTAATTTAGTACATGGTGATAGGCATGGGTCTAGCCTTAGTTTTCAGCAAATAGAGAGCCAGTTTTTGCAGCACCATTTATTAAAGAGAGTGTTGTTCTTCTAGTGAACCTGCTTGGCTCCTTTATCAAAGATAAGGTGGTTGAGTGTGTTTGTAGTTGTATTTTCTAATCTATTCCATTGATGTTCGGCTCTGTTTTTATTCCAGTACCATGCTGATTTTACTACTGTTGCTTTGTAGTATAACTTCAAGTCAGGGATTGTGATGCCTCCTGCCTTGCCTTTGCTGCTTAGAATTACCTTTGCTATTCTAGGTCTCTTCTGGTTCCAGATGAATTTTAGGAGTGATTTCTCTAGATCTATAAGGTATGTTGATGATACTTTTATTGGAATTGCACTGAATCTGTATAACAGTTTTGGGAGAATGGCCATTTTCACAATGTTTGTTCTTCCTATATGTGAGCAAGGGATGTCTTTCCATTTTCTGAGATCATCTTCAATTTCTTTTTTCAGTGTATTATAATTTTCCCTGTATAGGTCTTTCACTTCTTTAGTAAGAGTAATTCCTAAATATTTCAATTTTTTTTTTTGCTTGCTAATATGAAGAGTGTGGTTTCTCTTATTTCCCTCTCTGTGATTTTGTTGTTAGTGTACAGGAATGCTCAGAATGATTTCTGAGTATTGATTTTGTATCCAGTTATATCACTGAATTTATTTATTATATCTAAGAGTCTTTCAATAGAGTTTAGGGGGTCTTCTATGTAGAGCATCATGTCA